GGTTAATATTATAATGGTTGAGATATAATTATGATGGTCGGGATATTAGGTCGATATTTAGGATATTATCGAGATATCCGGGACACTATTGTGGTGGTTGATAGGAATATTATTGCGGAAATAATATTATTATAATGAACAGGTTATAATTATGCTAGTCTGGATATTATTGAAATAGTCCGAATATTATTGTGATAGTGTAGATATTATCTAGATATTAATTAAGGCTTTCCAGCAAACGTAAGAAAGAATAGCGTCATGGTAATAAATGCACGAAATGAATGCGTTAGATTCGGCCTAACAATTGAACTGTTAGATTAATATATGAACCTGCTCGCCCCTTTGATTGAGATGCCTATGACGTTGAGCCCATTTTATCTATGCATGGATTTTTAATAATAAAAATTTACACACTCATTATAATAAGTCAATAAATCTGCAAAATATAAATTATTCCTATCATCATATCTTAGGATTTATATTTTTAATCTGTCATATTGAAACCTTCCACCTTGCTGCTAGTGCTGCTGCTACTGCTGCTACTCGTACTGCTACTATATATTTTATATAGTGCTGCTACTAGTCCATTATCGTTTGCCACTACCACTAGTACGTTACCGTCTGGCATCTGTGAGAAATTAATTTCATACCGTAAATTTGTACATGGATACTAGGTTACTTTCGTTTATTCCATTTTTCTGTTTTCATTTGCTGAATAAGTAGGTATTCAAAGTCTGCGGATATATGTGGGTATCTGACTGAGATCTGGCTTGCGGGTGCATTTTTCATCACAAGTCTTTACCCTAACTAAAAAAAAAGATCAATACTCACTGCAGTGAGTGACAATTGAGCGCATTTTTCGTCCGTCCGACCGTCCGTGAAGTCACTAACGGATAGACGGACGGATGGACATGACGAGCACAATAGCGCCTTTTTTCCACGGATGAAAAATTCGCTAAAAATATGGAGTGGTTATCGGGAGTCATCTATAGTGAGCAAATGATTCGAGATAATTTGGCCTCTAATGCACATCTAAGACCGTGTAGATGCATTGTTTAAATTCAAATCAGATTTATTTTTTAAATGCTAAGACCGTGTAGATGCATTGTTTAAATTCAAATCAGATTTATTTTTTAAATGCACCTACGCATAAATAAAAACGTCATCACCAAACTTTTGCAAATGATTGTCACCCAACTTTAAGTATCTAACCGCTCGCTTTAACTCTGTTTCTCTATTTTTTTCGTTCAAATGACTGCCTTTTGAATTTCATTTTGTTTATTTTTTGCACTTTTTAAATCATTTATCTTTCTGTAGGAAGTTGTACAGTGTACACTCTCAAAGTAATTTCAATCATTTATCTAGTAAAATTTAAACCTAAATTTAATTCATCAAATTTTCAAAATAAGTGTTCTTCGCTCTGATAATGCGGTAACCAATTGTACTGTACTCGCGAAGTTCACTTTAAAATTTTCCCGGTTTCCTGGCGTCCTATATTTAAATATTTTACCAGCACTAAACATGACTATTCATAGCATAAATCCAGATCCTTCACAGTATCCAGTTATCTTGATCCCCGGACTGGACGGCTTATCTTTGCCTTTTTACGTCAAGTTAAGCCGCTTTTTTAGCGCATTTTCTCATTTATGGAAAAATGCACCATTGTGCTCGCCATGTCCGTCTGTCTGTCTGTCCGTCTATCCGTCTGTCCGTCCGTCCGTGACCTCAAGTTTTCGTCGACGAGAAAATGCGCTCGCTGTCACTCACTGCACTGAGTACTGAGTTATATATTTTTACGTTGTACGTGAAGGCCCTTTTTACGTACAGGCCTTCAGCCATTTAAATAATTTGCAATAAATTCAATTTGAGGATCCGGTAGACGAAACGGAACATTCCGATGCTTTGATGGCACTTAGATCGTCATATCAAGAAACTCGGAACAACTTCAATGCACTTCAAAACATTGTTGGTTGAATTTAAAATAAATGGTTCCTAAAATTATTATTTCTTTAACTTAGCTGCCTCGATTGTGTGAAAATATCACACGTCTGAGCACTCGAACCTCGTGATGTCGCTCGAACTTGTGGACTGACCAGGTGATGGTCTGACTAGACCAAGCGTCCAGGTGTTGCTCTGACTAGAATAGGCGTCAAGGTGATGGTCTGACTAGAATAGGCGTCAAGGTGATGGTCTGACTAGACTAGGCGTCCAGGTGATGGTCTGACGAGAATAGGCGTCAAGGTGATGGTCTGAATAGAATAGGCGTTAAGGTACGATGGTCTGACTAGAATAGGCGTCAAGATGATGGTCAGATTAGACCATGCAGGCTTTCAGATGATGGTCTGACTAGAATATGTGTACAGGTGATGGTCTGATTATAACAGTCATCCAGGTGATGGTCTGACTAGACCAGGCGTCAAGGTGATGGTCTGATTATTTTGGACAAGTTCAGCTCGCACCAGGCATGCAATTTTACAGATCAAAAGAAGACCGCAGGGTTTACGTTTGCGTTCAACAGAACGGCAGTAAAGCCACCTCGTATTTCAGCGCAGCCGTAGGCGGTATTTCACACAAAAGAGGCGTAGGTTGCGGGCTGCAAATCTTGCTTATGATCTGATTTTTTACTCCATTGTTCGATAAAGCTTGTTTCGCTCGACGCGTCTCGAGCAGCTCCAGACGGGATTTCATTGCCAGTTAAATATAAATATTACCACGGCCTCTGTTTCTTGTCAACGAGACTGCGGATGTCGCTGGGTCTCTGTATGGCTTCGCGCCAGTTAATGACTTCTGATACGAGTACATTCTGGCGAGGGCTGAACAAGTTTCCTGGACCTTGACAAGTTTCTTCCTATGTTACCATTACACTTATAGCTAAACAATAATCATGTGACCAATGTTCTAGCTTGCTTTCAGTATCCGTGATGAGGACTAAATGTATACAAGGAATCTATTTATCTATTTATATGATACAGCAGGATAAGCAGTCATCTGATTTTCATTTTTTAGGTAGCTCTACTTTGATGCTTTTCAAAACATTCATGACTACAAAAGTTTGATGACCGCTTCGTATTTTGGAAGAAAACACATCTGCAAACATCTTATGTGTGATGCTTCGACATGAGGCCAAGATACACTATCTAGTTAGGCTGCTTAAGGCTGAAGCCCAAATAAAAGCCTTTAATATACGCTTTCAAAACAAAGAAGCTCCTGGCAGGACTCGGATGAAGGTGCGATGTTATCACATTCTCCTCGCTTTAGTTTAGCCAGGCTATTTGCATGAGCTCCCTGTCATTACTGCGAGGCCAGCTTCTGCTGATTAGGTGCATGTAAGATTGTTCTCGCACACGACGGCGTCTTCTAACATGATAATTACCGCCATTATTTTTAGATATTGGTTCTTCTCCCGCCGGTCTATAAAATCGTTCTGCGAGAGTGCTTTATTACTTGCCTTGAAGACGCTACAACTGAAGCCTCATTGTTCCTATGTATTATTGTCCAGGGTATTCATGTTGGTCTTTATTGCCTGAGTGTCGCTGCCATGTAGGGGCGACTGCATCCTTATTGGCGCGGCCCGAGCCTCGCGGTTCGACCACCTGCAAATAATTCATGAGGCCTGGCTTGGACTGAGATTTTTTTGTCTGCATTTCTTCTTTTTTATGTGTTCGTATTTAATCTTTAGTTGCTGGGCAACTCAAGTCAAAGATTTGTGCAAGTAGATTATTACAATTTAATTATATTTAGTAGATGTTTTGAGCAGTCCACGTTCGGAGCTATTGATCTAACTTGGAACTTCAATTATGTACATTCATTTTATAACCTAAATATTTGTACATTAGAACTAAGCGTTTGTTGATTAAATTATTGCCATTTTTTGCTACCGATTTCTTAGACAACAATAAAGTTCATATTGCCAAAACTTGATGCTGGTAACGATGCGTCGAGCGAAGCAGCGTAGATGGCAATGGTGCAATGTATTCATGAAGACTTGATAAGTCATTTTAATTGCAAGCCGTTCTCCACTTGCGTCCCGCTATGGTTAGCCAGACAAAAGCTTTCCAAATTAATATTTACAACTAATAATGTGCTACAGGGACATGCACCTCGTTGTTATTCCGCTCGCCATGTTTCTCGTCCTCCTAATGAGCGATACCGACAACCGTCCTCCTGGCGCCTCATCGCCGAGGCGGGTGCGGTTGACTCCACACATTCGTGTACCTCATTAGTGTCAACTTGTCTTTTGTTTTGGTGTGCTTTAGGATGCCTTTTAACTCATGTCAATGCTTTGATCACGCTGCAGCTGGGGAACTACAGCAACTTGCATGCGGTATTTTCGTATTACATGAATGATATTTTCGGTCCATTTCATTCTCAGTTGATCTAGGACTTAATCTTGCACGGGAATGAGCAAGACGCGCGACACGTCTTGGCTGTGAAATATCGCTCGTTTGCCTACAATTTTGTGTCAACCAGCCACAAAAAAAATGGCCGCAGCCAAATCTCCGGGGAACGAAGACCGCAAAAAATCGTCCGCGATAAACTGTCGCTGTCGCAAGTCGCTTTTGGCGTCCCCTTGTGGCCCAAGCAGAAAGGGGAGCGGCGCAGCGTTTCCTGACTAAGAGGTAATCATAAGCGAGCGCCTCGGCGTCCCACGATTAAGTAAATCAGGCGCGGTTTGGGAGGCACTTTGCCAAATGGTGGACGCGCGTCTTGAGCGCCTAAGACAAGAAATTGCAAACACGATCCGCTCTGCGTCTGGTGGATCAGACTTGTTTGTTGTGTGATCAGCAAGCAGGCAATAGGATAATGACGGCATTGTTTCTTAATAATTGTTCGGTGCAATCATAGACATAAGATATACGACAAATTTATCGGTAATAAATGTTGCATTTTCTATATTGTTTGGTTTCTTCGATAATTTTATGTATGACACGCTTCATAATTTGTTCCCTTTATGGATGCTACTAAATACACTTGATTGCTAAGCCTTACATTTTTTTTCCAGAAATCCAGAACAGAATCTAGAATTTCAATAAATTCACTAATTGCACGAAGCAACGATGTTTCTGATGCCGTCAAGCAACAACAATCAAGGGTGCACATCAGGACGATCCCCATGCCCCTCAAGCATCGTCAGGAGAAGACGAAGTTTATATAGGTCGTCACACAACACGTCACACGGAGGAGGAAGCCATGGATGTGGTAGCTCCCCGTCACCAGCTCGGTGCCCCGCGTCGGTAGCGCTGCTGCTGTGCCTCTGCATTGCCGGTGAGTATCTTTACACTCTTCAATTTGCTGAAATAATTTTTACATTTGTAAATGAATTAATAAACTTTTACCCGTTGAGTTTAGAGTAACCCAGTCTTAAGGATAAGAATAATCTATTTCCAAACGGTGTAACATTCTGAATTTTTTTACTTGCAACATTTCCGATTTCTTAAATCCGCCAAGTTAAGAAACAATACCTAGTCGACACTAACTTTCTCACTGTGTCCAGCAACCAATGGACAATTTCGAATTGTGACGTCTTTTTAATTCGGCTTTATCAGGCAATAATTTACAACAGATACAATTATTCATAGTTGGGTATTTCCACGAAGGTGAGTTTTACAGTAAAGAATTGCCTAAAAACCCGTTATTTCAATGTATGCAATAGCACATCCTCGTCACCAGCTCGGTGCCCTCCGTCGGTAGCGCTGCTGCTGTGCCTCTGCGTTGCCGGTGAGTATCTTTACACTCTTTAATTTTTCTGAAATGATTTTAACATTTTAAAATGAAATAATAAACTTTTACCCGTTGAATTTAGAGCAACCCAGTCTTACGAATAAGAATAACCTGCTTCCAAACGGCGTAACATTCTAATTTAATTTTTTTAAATAATTTTTACATTTTAAAATGAAATAATAAACTTTTACCCGTTGAATTTAGAGCAACCCAGTTTTATGAATAAGAAGAACATACTTCTGAACGGAATAACATTCTCAATTTTTCAACATTCCCGATTTCTTGAATCCGCCAAGTTAAGAAACAGTACCTAGTCGATACTATCTTTCTCACTTCATATTTCTTCTTATATCTGCTAACTACCGCATCTGTGCCCAGCAACCAATAGATAATTTTGAATTGTGATGTCTTTTTAATTCGGCTTTTTCAGCATTAATTGACAACAGATACAATTATTCATAGTTGGGTATTTCCACGAAGGTGAGTTTTACAGTAAAGAATTGCCTAAAAACCCGTTATTTCAATGTATGCAATGTCACGCTAGAGCTCCACTTCCCTTTTCAGTATATTTTGTTTATGTAAATAAATCTTTAGAATTTGCTTCATTAAATTTTCGTCGTTTCTCATCTATCAGCATTTTTTCGCTCGGTTTGTCTAGACCACTTCATCCACTCTCTCCCGCCCTCCATCCCTTCCTCCCCTCATCCTCGGAGAGTCTGTGGGCCGCTTTTTATCTATCCAATTTTCCGCCCTACATCAGATGTGCTGAGCTTCTTCCAATGCAATTTTAGTTCACAAAAAATCCACAAATTCGAGTAAGAAATATTCGTTTGGCGAAGGTTGGAGGCGCTGAGCTGTGGAGCTCACCTGTCTTACCCGCAGCTGCTGATTGCGTGTGTGCTGTCTGCTCTTCATCGTACGCACGGCACGCACTAAAAACATGATCAAATTAAATATGCTATTCAAATTTAAACACTTGAATTGATAGGAAGGAAGGAAATGGGTCTCGACGTTCACCAAAAACGGGATCATTACACGAATGATAATTTCTGTTGTATTACCTTTCGCTGTGAAGACACTGCAGGGTCACGCAAGAGAGCTACACCTGGCAAGTACAATCGCCTGCATTCATCGAATGCATAAGAACTCAAAGATATTAAAATAAACTAAACGCAATGCAAGATAGATGGGGGGAAAGGGCCTAAGAATGCTGGAGAGGGGTGATGGAGGAAAAGATAAGGGGGGAGAGGGCAGAGAGGGACAGGAGAGGGCAAATTTTCTCAGCAAATTTGCAAGTCGTTACGCCGTCCGCCTGATCTGAGTGAGCGATCCCAGCGCCTGCCGCTGCGCTGGCCCGCACGGTGGCTAGGGTCCCGACCCGTAGGGTGGCTGGAGTCCCGACCCACAGGGTGGCTGGAGTCCCGACCCGCAGGGTGGCTGGAGTCCCGACCCGCAAACGGTGGCTGGGGTCCCGACCCGCAAGGTGGCTGGGGTCCCGACCCGCAGGGTGGCTGGAATCCCGACCCGCAGGGTGGCTGGAGTCCCGACCCGCACGGTGGCTGGGGTCTCGACCCGCCTGGTGGCTGGGGTCCCGACCCGTACGGTGGCTGGGGGCCCGACCCGCGCGGTGGCCGGGGACCCGATCCACACGTCATGGAGACTAATGTTAGTAGCAACATGGAGAATGGCAAAGCTAATTTGTTAACGGACAAGTAACAGGAATTCTATGTGGATATGATCAGCTGGCGCAGAATGATTGATATGAGTTACCTCGTTGGCAGAAAAACTTTCTACAATACTTAACTTAAAAGTTAAATTGTTTAATAAACAAAGCCAAAGCTGGAGGCACCCTTCAAAACTTTCCGTCAGTTACGTATATTTGCATTCTCATTTTACCACAACTTACATATTCTCTGCCCCTCTTGCAGCGAAGTCATAATTAAGTTCCGTAAAAATGTTTATTTGAAACGTAAAAAATACTTTCTTTTGTTCCCATTGAGATATCATTCCAGATTTAATAACATTTCATTCCCTTCAAAAAGCACAAGAGAATTTTAACACCTGTGCGCCTTAATTCAAGGAACTTTTGGGTTCCACAAAAACGCTTCGTCTACGTCGCCCACGCAGCAAAGATCGACGAGGTGCTCTAATGCTGATCTCACACGAAGATCTCGTGTAGTGATCGATGATCTGAGCAGCGATCGCACTTGATCCAGACCATGCCTCACTGCCCCCTCGATCTTTCCCTGTCGTGGTTCATAAACGCAGCCCAAGATTGCATGACGGCAGTCAGAGAAAGCGCGCGCTCTCCAAGTAACTTATTGTGTTACTTGTGACAAGGAAATAATTCCATTGAATTAGAAACTCACTAAGTATTATAATGGATTTTCAACAAACATTATTCCAATTGCAGTTTACTCTCTACATTCCCACTCTGAAATAGTACATTCTATTTAGAATGTGCACTATAAGATAATAAATGCGCTGCAACATTATTTTTTGTAATATTTCAAGAGAAATTAGCTTCACCATCAAGTACCACCATACCAGCACTACATTTGATCACTTCACCACCACCTACCACCATACCAGCACCACACTTAAAAATTAAAACAGGTGAATACAGTGAGGAGGCCAGGCTGTTGTTAGATGAATCTTGAAACGTTTATGAGAGAATGTTTGCAACAACACAGGATAATTTAAAATACGCGTTAATTGAGCGAGAACAAGAAAGGAATCGCTCTAAAAAGTTCGTAAATTACACAAATTATAATCATTGTAACTCAGAAGTTACGGTATTTGTTTATAATGGTATACATTTTTTTGAGTGAACCTAAATTGAGAAACGAAATAATACTAACAAGATGTTTAAAACATCAGGCTTGAATGTAAATCTGTAAGTGAAAAACATGACCGTCTTTAAAGAACAATATAATGATTTTATGCAATATAATGAGTTATTCTCTGGTATGCGATGCCCTAAGATTTTTTTCAGGGGTGAAGATATGAAGACATTACTAGAGCAACTGGCCGTTCTTGAGGAAAAAGTATCGATTGTGATCATTTTTGACATGAAAAACAAATAATTATCATTTTGGAAATATCATGAACACCAACAGGACTATATAGTGCATTTCAAATAAACCCAATAGAAATATCAACCATTTTTAATTTATTTTTATCTCTCGAAGAAGGAATCGTGGAGGCTTACATTACGTGTAGGTCCTGGAAAACATATCATGTTTGATACCTTGGCTCGTCACATACTTTGACTGTATGTTTGAACATCTGACGTTGCAGGTACACTAAATCACATTATTTTTAGTCTAGCCACTTGAGTAGAATAAATAAATTCGAGGAAAGTTTTAAAAAATTTAGGTACAATCGTTCTGATGCTTCCGGTCGAAATGGATAGCTGCTGTGGTAAATAAATTTCTGGAATTATTAATCAGCTTGGCCAATTGTTATTTCTCACGAAAGGCTTCTTTAAAGGAAGACATGTTCTTGTCTCAAGTAATGGAATGATTTTGAAGTTTTTGGAATTTATAGCATAAATAACAAATACTAACTCTGAATTGTGTATAAAATAATATTGTTTTTAAGATTGATAACGTTATTTTACCTACTGTTTCCCATTAATGCCTGATATTCGAAACAACAGTTTTTATTGTTTTTTTTAGCTTTTAGACTCATCCTATTGGGACTGATATCATTCTCAAAATAAATTTCGACTTCTGAACTAGTAATGTCATTATTTGCATAATAGACGATTGTAGTCTAGAGCGGTCCTTCTCATGTGCACGCACATATTCTGTTTAGTGACGTCATTGAATTCAGTTCCGTACAATGTCTACGACTGAAAATATAGATTTACAATGTCGTGGGTATAGTTTTAAAAAAAGGATGAATAAGAACAATAAATGAAAACTATAATAAGCAAACGATAAATACAAATAAAGACAAAAATATAACCATGTGTTCCCTTTGCTCAAGTTCTTACTTTCGTTCCCAAGATTCTGAGCCTTTCTGAAATTAAGAAATAAGCGAAAATTTAGAACTAGCAATATATGAGCAACAAAAGCAGAATAAATTACGTAAACCAGATAAATACATTATAGACTGATAACCATAAGCACGAACAACTCTAAACATCACCGCTGAATTACAACATAAAATTATCACAAAATAAACAGATCAAATGATAAAGTAACGCGTACCTCCGTGGTGGAGCATATAGCAATGAACAAGTTTTGATGCTTATCTGAACGAGGTCACGTCCGAGGTGACTTAAACCAAAAATCCAAATGTCTAACTGTAAAAAAGTGCTATTACACTACGTACCCTAACAACAAAATGCCGTTAAAGAAAATAAACCTGAAAGAGATGTATTTAATGAATTTAAAGTCAATAATAAAGTGCAATGGAATAACCAACAACCATCAACAATAAACACGCACATGTCTGTAGACAACCGCAGGACTGGGGGGATGTGACGCGCGTAGTGCAGTTGTGCCGGTGCAGGATAGGCTACAAGAACATGTAAG